CCGACCGTACCTCGGCTTACTCCCTTACCGTACCCTGACTGTCCCTGTTCCGCCACAACCTGATTTTTTTTTTTTTTTAAGCCATTTTTTTTTTTTTTTTTACATTTTTCTCGCAATTTTTAAAATATACATACAATACCTGTATGATATCTTTATAAAGTTGGATTGGAGTATGAAACTGTGAAACCAAGAAGAAATTTCAACCTATATCAGGTTCTTCCCAGGATGAAATTCAAACAGGGGGAGGGAGGGGGGGTGGGGTGAGGGTGGGGGAGGGGGGAAACTAGGGGGAGGGGGAGGGGGGGAAACTAGGGGGGGGCCGGGGCGTGTATTTTTACGTACGACTAATTAATGCGTAAAATCGCCACCACACCATAGACGGTATTTGGGTTCTTGTATATATAAGATAGCCGAGTCGGTGTACAGTTAGTGACAGGTTAACTTGTGTTACTGTCTGCATTGCATGCGTGGTACGGTAAAAATACACCGTCGGATGTCCTGGTCGAACGGGCAATTCTGACGATCGATTCCCGCGCTGGCAAACTTTTATTGTGGTGGAATTAAACGGGGCGGAGTAATTTAAACGGGGCGCAACGATTCAAACAGGGGGAGTTTTCTCAAACGGGGCGCGCGCGCGCCCGCTTTGCGCAACGTAGGGAGAACCCTGTATATACACTGATGCGCGCAATCCTTTTGCAAATATCGCGATGATCGGAATGCGTTTTTCTTTCGCAATGTTTACGACATTTCGCGGTTTTGCGCGAGATTTTAGAAAGATGGCTCCAAGTGTTGTAGTGGAACAGGAAAATTTGTATGATTACCTTAATGGGTTGGAAACGTATAGACTCGCTGACACTTGTAGAAAGGGTCGGGAGGTGAAACGTACAACAGGGTAAGGGTTACGAATATTTTGCGGGAACGGACCGGAAACAAGGAACGGGAGCATCAAGTGGCGCGTTTCCTGCCGACAAGCGGTATGTATTACGACATCGGCTGAAAGTCAGGGTACGGTTTGGAGTAGGCGAGGTACGGTCCGGCATATTAGATAGTTTACCAGGGTACGTTCCGGCAGTACCCTGGGGGACATAGACCCTATCAGCAGTACTACTAGTACTAGACCGAATAATTCTGTCCATATAATCTTTTTATATTTTGGTGAGGGTTATATTGGGACAGAACAGGGTTCATTGAAATTTCGTGAGATCGCATGCAAAATGCATGCGCTGCGAATGCGGGCCGTACGCCGCTATTGGCGCGAAAAAAAACCCTACCGTTCCCTTCTACATGACTTTACCTTGCTACAGATATGTGTATACATTCACTTCAATCGTTATTCACTCTTTAAAAGATTGTTTTTCAGAAACCCGCTTCATTCCACTTTCGTAATAACATTCGCCATTTACAACAATCAGACAAATCAGAGCGAGTGTTACAATAGCCTGGTTCTCGCTTGTATCTGTGGTGCTGCAGGAGGGCTGATAGACTCGCTCTGATTGGTCTGATTGTTGTAAATGGCGCAATGTTATTTACGAAAGTGGAATGAAGCGGTGTTTCTGAAAAACAATCATTTAAGAATGTGAATAACGATTGAAGTGAATGCAGGGTTCTCCCAGGATGAATTTCAAACAGGGGGAGGGGAGGGGTAGGGGGAGGGGGAGGGGAAACTAGGGGGGTCCGGGGGCGTGTATTTTTACCGTACGACTAATTAATGCGTAAAATCGCCACCACACCATAGACGGTATTTGGGGTTCTTGTTATATTAAGATAGCCGAGTCGGTGTACAGTTAGTGACAGGTTATTAACTGTGCATTGGCAGGTTAACTTGTGTACTGTCTCCAGTGCATGCGTGGTACGGTAAAAATACACGCGTCGATGTCTCTGTTCGAACGGCAATTCTTGACGATCGATTCCCGCGCTGGCCAAACTTTTATTGTGGTGGAATTTAAACGGGGCGGAGGTAATTTTAAAGCG